TCTGCCAGAAGGGAAATGTGTCAGCTATATCACCTTTCCTGAGATTGTCTCTCTGAGCCAATTTCACAGAGCCTGGGATGTCCCTGGGATCTGCTGTTATTTCTCTCTCCCTGGGTTGGGTTAGGAGAGACCTTAACGCTCACTCAGTTAATCAAGAACTATTGAGAGCTTCCAAGAATTTTGCTACCATAAACTCACACAGGTCATGAGTCTCAGCTGAATCTGGGGAGTGGGTGAGCCCCAGGGGGGAGCCCCAGACCCTGCCCCAGCACATCCCAGGCTCTGATCCCTCTGCTGTCTGTCCATGTGCCCCTCAGTCTCAGGGTGGGAGCAGAGGGGATTTATCTGGGTATTCCTGCCCATCCCCTGGACAGATGGGGCAGCAGCTGCTCTGCATGTTGGGAGGGCAATGAAAGTACCCGGGAGGAGGGAGAAGGAGGCGGATCCACGTCTGTCCTCCCCCGACATCCTGTGTATAAAAATGCAGAACAGCCCCAAGTTCCCAGTGCTGGCGCACACCGAGGGGCAGGAGCAGCACCCTGACCCCACACCCAGGGCAGGGCAGAGGTAACACTTTGGGCTGGGGCCCAGGGGAGACACTGAGGGCTGTGGGAGCTGGGGCCGGGGTACTGAGCACTGCAGGGATGGCAGCCTGTGGAGCAGGGTCAGGGCTATGGCAGTACTGGGACGTGGCCATGGGGCTCCTGGCTGGGGTTGTAGCTGGGGAGGACTCCCATCTCCACGGGCTGACCCTGCTCCCCCTCCTCAACTCCCCAGTCCCTGGCAGAGGAACCAGACACATCCACGTCAGTGTCCCTGCAGTGTCTGCATTTGTCCTTGGAGAGTCTCTGCTCACCATGGAGATCCTGGCACTGGGGCTGGTGCTGCTGGTTGGGACCCAGGCCACTGGCATCAAGGAGATAGCACTGGACATGGCACCCAACAGCTTCGATGACCAGTACAAGAGCTGCCGCACTAAAATGGAGAAGAAGTTGCCATTGCTCAACAGAACTGAGATGTCCAGAAATGACCTCTATGCTGAAGCCTGGGCCAAGGCCACTGCCAAGTGGCACAGCCAGGTGTTCCCAGGGACCCCACTGCGGAAGGATCAGGCCATTGCTGTCCTGGCCTACACTTTGCAAGGGCAAATGTACAGGAATTTCAACGTGGCTGTGCGTGAGGCCGGGAGCTCACCCCAGGAATACCAGGACAACTTCCACTTCAAAGCTCTGCATTTCCTCCTGCTGACCACGGCCCTGAGTGATCTGCGCAAAGCCCATCACCAGGGCACCTGCCTCCATGTGTTCCGGGGTGTCCAAGGGATCCACTTCACCGCCAAGCCTGGTGACATCATTCGCTTTGGCCAGTTCACCTCCAGCTCCCTGAAGAGAGAGGTCACCCAAACGTATGGCCAGGACACTCTCTTCGAGGTGGACACCTGCTATGGTGCCTTGATCCGGAACTTCTCCTTCAATCCTGGTGAGGAGGAGGTGCTGATCCCACCCTTCGAGACCTTCGAGGTCACCAGTGTCACCCATGAAGAGAACAGACCTCACATCCATCTGCACTCCCAGGGTGTGAAGAGCAACTACGAGTGCGAGTGGCTCCGAGGTGACATCCCTGGGGTGGGGACACCTGTGGTTGGGCATGGAGACAGGGCAGGGGTGGCACTAGGGCAGTGTCTGTGCTGGGACAGGGGGGTTGGTTGTGGGGCAGGGGATGGGGGTGGTGGAGTTTTGGGCACATGGCACAGCACAGCTCCAACCACTGTCCTGGCACAGCACGGGATAGGATGGGTTGGGATGTCATGGGATGTGTTGGTGTGACATCCCATAGTATAGATCAGCTTAGAGCAGCCTATCACAGCCTGGTGAGCATCCACCAGCTCCCTCTGAACTTCCACGGCTCCCTGTGACCTCCTTCTCTCCTCCCAGGTGGGAACATCCCCAGGAACACCCCAAGCCTCGGGGGGCTCCTCCTGGCAGCCTTGGCCCTGGCTGCTGCCACCGGGACCCTCTAAGCCCCAAGTCCAGAGCAGCCACCATACCCACCACACTCACCACTGACACTGCTGCCAGCACATCTGGGGACGTTGAGAGGTTGTGGAAAGAGTCACCAGTGTCACCAGGACTACAGGATGGAGCAAGGAGCACAGGGACCTCCTGCTGCAGGGGGGACACTGGCCAAGCCCAGCACATACCCTCACCCAGCCACGGCTGCATGGCTGTGTCTCGGGGTGCAGGTGAAGGGGGCTCAGTGTGGGCACAGAGCAGTGACAGAGGGGATAACATCAGGTATTTTCTTCTCTTTTTGGCTTTTACTCCCAATATTTCTCACATCTCTTTCCAAATATTAAACTGCTTTTACCTCAACGCACCAGTGTCCTTTTTACTTTCACCCACCTGATCCTGCTCCAGAGACTTGGGACAAGGGTCTGGGGAAAGGACGAGGGGGAATGGGTTCCCATGGACAGAGGGCATCATTAGATGGGATATTAAGGAGAAATCCCTTCCTATGAGGGTGCTGAGGCACTGACACAGGTTTCCTAGAGCAGCTGTGGCAAACATCTTCTTGACTGGTCACAACCCACTGGGTGGTCTGTGATGTTCCTTAGGCGTCCTCATCAGGCTGAGCCAAGACACAGGACATGTGTCAGGGAAATCTTGTGCTTTATTGTGTGGTCACCAGAGCTCTGGAATCAGCCCCAGATGGAGACTCAAAAGGTTTTGGCTAACAAGTCCTTGAATTTGTCCGGGCAGAGCAACTGATATCATCTACCTGGACTATGCAAAGCGTTTGACACTGTCCCACATGACATCCTGTCTCCAAATTGAAGAGCCATGGACTGATGGGTGGAGCAATTGGTGGGTACAACACTGGCTGGATGGTCACACAGAGAGTTGTGGTCAGTGGCTCAGTGCCCACGTGGAGCCAGTGAGGAGTGGTGTCCCTCAGGGGTCAGTGCTGTCCCTCAGGGGTTGGTGCTGTCCCTCAGGGGTCTGTGGTGTCCCTCAGAGGTCAGTGCTGTCCCTCAGAGGTCAGTGGTGTCCCTCAGAGGTCAGTGGTGTCCCTCAGGGCTCAGTGGTGTCCCTCAGGGGTCAGTGCTGTCCCTCAGGGGTCAGTGGTGTCCCTCAGGGGTTGGTGCTGTGGGTGACACTGTTCAACATCTTTGTCTGCGACATGGATTTTGGATTAAGTGCACCCTCAGCAAGTTCTCTGACCACACCAAGTGTGTGGGGCAGTCCCAGCTGGAGGGAAGGGATGGGACATCCAGAGGGA